GAATAATGTAAATAGTGTACATAATACCTCATCTCAGAAATATAGACAGATACTGAAGGGTCGAAACGTTGTAATAAATATGGCGAAAAAGATGAGGACAATAGTCCGAATAATGTAAATAATGTACATAATACCTCATCTCAGAAATATAGATAGATACTGAAGGGCTGAAACTTTGTAATAAATATGGCAACAAAAATGAGGACAATAGACCGAATAATGTAAATAGTGTACACAATACCTCATCTCAGAAATATAGATAGATACTGAAGGGCTGAAACTTTGTAATAAATATGGCGAAAAAAATGAGGACAATAGTCCGACTAATGTAAATATTGTACACAATACCTCATCTCAGAAATATAGACAGATTCTGAAATACCTACATATATATGTGATATTTTAGTCATTTCTGATCTTGGACTCCATCCATGACGTCTCTGCGCGAATGTAGATCTAAGAATGCTTGTTAAACACAAAATAAGTTGTATTTTTTTGTTAAATAGGAATTGTTGTAGCATACATAAAGACGATAATGCTTATGCCCCCATTCCCATAAATACTGTATTGAATACTGTATGTGTTGGTTTGCGGTCTGCAGTGATTCCTTGGAGTATTCACTTGACTCATTTCTAGCAGTTGGGTACTTCTACGCTGGCGAATCTTATATGTGTTGCTCTTGTCCTAAGTATTATCACTCATTTCCAACTTTCTTGTGATTATTCTATTCCGTAACCTCACCCAGGTTACAACAGGAATCATCCCAAGCCAAGGAGTAATGCCACTAAAACAAACAGGATTAGACGGCGTGGAAGAATTAGGAATTATTATATATTAATTATGTGCAGAAAGAGAAGATGGACAGTAGATAGAGATTGAAATTTCATTTACGTTTTTTCAGACTAAAGTTAGCTGGAAAGCATGGAACCAAAAAGGAGTTCCCCAATCGAAAAGTTGGAGAGAAGAAGCTGTTAGCAAAGAACTACATTTAGCCAACTCACCCTTAAAATGATGAGGTCTCGACGCCAGTCTATTGTGCTGCGCTTAAATTCAATAATTCTAGGTACCATAGCGAAGAGCTCATTCGAACAATTGCCATGAAGGTGTTTATAGAAAAGACACAATAAGGTAACCTTACATTGGTGAGGAAAGTGACTGGAAAAAGGCGACAGATCAGGACGAATAATATTTTTCACCAACGTGGTGTAGCTTCCATCTTTCTTTTCTAGAAATATTTTCATGCCAACTGTTTTGATGGGCTTTGTTATCTGTTGCCTCGATTGAATTAATTTAATTCCTTCTTTGGATCTTCTCAAGGAGCTCTAGTTTATTATTTCCGTTTCTTAGCATCTTGCAATGTTGGAACTAGCTTCCCATAGTGCAATCTTTCCTATGTCCAATGTCTTCATCTTCTATAAAGTAAATAAGATGTAAAGCCAATTACGCGAGTATGTTGAGTTAAGGGTGTTCCAATAAATTAAACCAATTTTAAATGTGAATTAAGTTTAAGCGTCTAATGATTTTTTTTTCTTTTTCTTTCAGATTTGGCGGATATTTGGGCGATACTATTTTTGACACAAAATTACTATGACTTAAATAGCATGATCCAATAGAGAGATAAATAAATTTTCACCAATAAAACTGATTTATTTACTGATGACTTTGATCCGTCTTAATGATACAGCCTTTATAAACATATATCTAAATAGACTGTAATAGGAGCATATACACATATATACTTAAAAAGACAAATCTATCTTTATTTTGCTTTCTTATTGATCCTTCTAATCTGTTAGTGTATAAGAATGTCGATATCGTCAGACACGAACTGCCAATTCAAGCAAAACATTATTTCAGCACATAAGATAGATTCTTGGTGAAGAAAAACATTTATATTTTCTTTTTGTCCTATTTACTGTGAAACTTTTAAAATGGAATTGATCTTAAGTAGCAGCAATACGTACTAAGAACTAATGTTTCAAATCGTTCAAGAAAAACTATGTAGGCATTAAAATATTGCCATGTAAGTGGATTCTTCTTTTGTTATCGGTTAAGTAGATTGGCTTAAAGACGTCACTTGGTAGAGGCAGGTTACTCTCTGCTGACAGTGAGTGGCTTCCGACCCGGGGCGATCTCAGCCCCATGATATGCGTTATATATTTCTGTTCGTTTTATTGTTGATGTATATATTTGTTTTCCTACATTTATCGAATCATCAAATAGTTCTTCTCATCGGGAGATTGAAGGTTTGAGGGGCGTGGAACCACCTTTTAATTGCTGTTGATCACCATGACGAGCGTTGTAGCACCTGCTAGAGCCCTAGCTATGGGCAAATACTTAACCCCTAAGCAAAATCAATATCCTATGAAAGTTCAAAATACATTCTTGTAGTAAACATTGCAGAAATATATTTTATATAAAAATTATCAACAATACCTATTTGTTGTAGAATTACTAACAATACTGATTTACAGGAAAATCACCAGCAATATATTTTCTCCATAGGCGGAGGAATACAACTGCGCTCAAAATATATTTAGTTCAAATCATAAAATTGTGTTTAAATATTTTGATTTCGGCATTAAATTACCCATAGAGGTGTTGATATCCCATTAAACAAAATTCACCCAATTTTCTAATGGGGGTCTCAATTAGCGTAAAATAAAAAAATGACAGTTTCTCGCTGAAATTCTACGTAAGCCGTTAACATTAAATGTGGACAAGAATCCTCATCTTTTTTGCCATTATCACACGGGGCTGGGTGTACTTTAAAGTGTCAGTTTGAAGTTTCATAAAGGTTACCCGACGAAGGTCTGTGAAATGACGGTCGAAGCATTGTGATAATAACAACAATGATGGGGGCAATAACCCGCATTTAAATAAAATAATGAAATGGGAGTGCAAAAAAACTAATTTTAAGTTAATTGATATGAAGCAGTATCAGAAAACATGTTAAATGGGATTTATATGCAGACGCTGTAACGGTAATCTGAATGGAAAATAAACTTGCGAGCCGTGTTCAAGTTCTGACCATGTTTGTGAATTACAGGAATTTATCTCTTCGCCCGCGCACCGAAATATCAACAATTTATTTTAATGGCATTTTTCTTACCGGACTTAACGAATCATGGCTTTCTACAGATTCTTTTTTCTTGTGAAAATATATTAGATTGGTTCCTTGTTGCATTCTTCATCTGTCACTTTAAAAAATAGCTTCTCCTACATTGGCTTCCACCGAAGCAAGGTAGTACAGTCTACTCTTTAACCCATACATATTTACTCCTATTCTGCTTAAAAGGGTCCACGAAAATATCACGTTTAATCTTCGGTTCTGATAAAATCGAGGAAGTTTAGCAACGACGAGCCTAGTCAGTAACTAGATGGGTGACTATTTGGCTGTGCGGGTGGTGTAATGGAGAAAGGTTCTGGGTTGGAAATTGAAGAACCTAGTCTCAACTCCAATCAGATTCGTTATATTTCATGACTCCCAAATACCTTCAGGAATTTTCTTAAACCACATCTTCCCACCCCAGCTATGGGTTAATTAGTAGGATATGTATCAGTATATAATTATTATCTCCAAAACTTTCTCACAATTTAAATATATTTTCTGGCTTTAAATACCTCACAAAAGGTTTTGTTAGCCGTAAAATATCTATCTAATTTTAATATACCGATGAACACGAAATCTGAATTCGATTACATGTGAGTCTAAATTATTCTTAACTTCACAGTAAATACATTATTCCCATCTATTTTTCAAAGGATTCATCATTTTATTAGATATATTATGCTGAGTTGTGTTATATACAATTTCAACCTTAAACATTGACTTTATCACAAATGCATGTCATTTACATCTAGCTCTCAAATGTTATGGAAATGGTCTTCAGTGTTTGAGCAGCATCGTAGAACACGGACGCCGTTCCTATATATAAATGTAGTATATAGCCTCCAGGATCAATATAGATTTTTAATGGTATTTCATTCAATTTATGCCCGTTCTACGATGGATAAGTAGATGCGTTGCTAGCCTTTCGCTAATCGATCACTGTCTTCATTTCTTTCATATTCCGTTGATAAGAAGAAAATTCCACTCAGACAGCTTCTTCTTCAGAACTGTTGCATTACAAGACATGCTCCGGAGATGATGAATCATCTTAAATATTAGTATACCTACGGACCGTCCATGAGTAGAATATTGCTGCCACATAGGGTGCAGTGCTTGTTCTGTTTACTTTGAATATATTGATAAATCCAAAGGTTAATCATCAATATCATTGGTTCTGATCTGGCGAATCGGCTTCGGTCACTTTTCCACTGTCGTAAGTTTGCCTCCTTTCGCCTTTGCTTTCATATTATTATTAGAATGATTTCTTCGATTGGAAGCTACATTTTTTTAAAAATATAAGCGCAGTACTAGTTTGGCGAAGCCACCTCTGCAATTTACAGTTGAGTTGGCTAGTTGCAACCGTAATTTCTATGCTAACATTTTTTTGCACTTTTCGCTTGTGGAACTCCCTTTCGGCTCAATGCTTTCCAGACAACTTTAATCTGAAAAAATGCAATGTCAATCGCTATCTTCTGTCCTCCTGGTTACACTTCTCTGTTCTTGTTCTTTAGCAATGTTCCTGTTTCGAACTCTTCCACATCCAGTAACCCCTTGTGTCTCAGTAGCCTTAATGCCTAGATTGGGGTGAACTCCGTAAAAAAGTATTATTTTAACCTATTCAAGTCTAATGATATGATTCCCTAGCTTCCTCCGAGTGTTCAATTACTACAATCTCACTTAGTTACCTTTTATCTTTAGTGGATATTAGACCGTGTATATATTGAATATATGGGTTAATTAGTAGGATATGTATCAGTAAATAATTATTTTCTCCAAAAATTTCTGACAATCTAAATATAATTTCTGGCTTTAAATAGCTTACAAAAGGTCGGTAAGCCCTAAAAAACATAGCAATCTAATTTTCTGTTGCCCCCCCCAGTCACTCTCAATGTCGAATTCTCTTCTTGTCTGTCTGTCTGTCTGTGTGTCTGTCTGTCTCTCTCTCTCTCTCTCTCTCTCTCTCTCTCTCTCTCTCTCTCTCTCTCTCTGCCTATTTCGGTTTTATTCTTTATGTACACCACACCTTCTATTGCCTTTCCAGTCCCAGTGTTGAAATCTATTTCTGTCTGTCTTTCTCTGTCACTCTGTGTGTGCGTGTGTGTGTGTTTATTCTATATTTACACAACCTTTTCTTTTGGGTCTCCAGTCTCTCTTTGTGTCAAAATGTCTTTTTGCTGCTCAGTCTCTGTCTCTTTCTCTTTTATATTTTCTATGTGCACCTCTCTTTCTGTTGCCTCTCCCGTCTCTCTCACTGTCGAATACTCTTTTAGTCTCTCTCTCTCTCTTATTCTCTATTTCCTGTCCTTTGTAGCTATCATGATGCTTTGTCTTTTCACTATCCCTACGCCTCCATGTCAAGTGTTCGCACGAACTCTTAGTCAGCGAACCTAAACTTTATGAATTTAAGGTCAATACTAGACTGGTATCGAGGTGTCACCAGTACAGCCATGTTGGCTAGATGTAACTGTAGTTTCTATGCTAAAAGTCTAGTTTCCCGCACTTCTCCATTGTGGAACTTTGTTCCAGTTCCATTCTTTCTGCTGTCCTCCTGATTCCTCTTCTTTTATTCTTTCTCATTAGTAAAATGTCGGTTTTCTAATTCGTCGACACCCAGTAACCTAGTGGCTTTACTGCCTTGCTTGGGTTGAAATCAATTTTTTAAGAAGTCCTTGGTGAGCCGTCTATTTACCGAAGCCAATTACCGTGGAATAGTCGGTGCTTTTCTCGATGTCCCTTCCCTTCATTATGTCTTGGGAGTTTCAAATTCTCAAAGCCTTTTGCCTTCATTATGTGTCCCATAATTCCCAGTTGTATCTCTTTTAAATGCTAGCGTAGTTTTTGCTTCCATTATTCAGAACACTTCTTCATTTCTCACATGTTCAGTCTATGGCATTCTCAGTGTATTTCTGTAGAACCACGTTTATGTTGCCTCAGGCCTTCTCTTCATCTGAAAGGATATTGTCTTATAAAACGTGGGAAATTATATAACAGATCAGAATTCTGTTATTTTGATTCGAACGAATTTTTTTCTGGTTTTTAAAGTTTTGCTTTTTGGGAGAAACTTTCACTATTTCAACGCATCTTCGGATTACGGTGTCACGATTTCCGTTGTCTCTAAAAACACTTCCTGGATATTTATGTTTTCATACTTGTTTTATTTCGGTATGTCAAATTCATTCTTTGGCTATCGGGCTGTTTCTCTTGCTAATTAAAAAAGGCAGTGCTAAAAATATCTTCAAATTCCTTGATGTAAGTTATCATAATAGATTTTAGATTAGATAATGGCTTTTCATTTTATTCCATTTTGATGTATCGTGTTTCTTCCGTACGTGGGAGGTTATAGCCCATCACGAACATCGTATCCCTTTCTATAAGTAATGATTGTCCCAGTACAATCCTTGTTGGTAGTTTTGCTATCTCCTTTGCATTCCATATGTCTTGCGAGTGTCAAAATCACTACGGACCCTTTTATTCTTAGGTTTCTTTCTTTAAGGCAATTCACCTCAATCAAAACATGACTGCCACGAGCACGCAAGAGGTTACAGAGGATTGAGAACAAGAGTAAAAAGAGGTGGAAGAGGGAAAGATACAGAGAAGAACGAGGAAAAAGCTCAGAGTGTCAGATGTCGATTGACATTACATTGAATATTTGAAGATTATACTCATCGGGGAACCAATTAAGGGGAAAGGAGTTCCCCAGACGGGAAGTGCGGGAGAAGAAACTGTTTGAGTAGAAGTGACGGTTACATTTAACCGTTTTGACAGTGAAAGTGTGGGTCCGAGATGCCAGACGATTAAATTCATGTAATCCTGGAACCAGCGAAAGTAGCTCGTCGGAACTGTTGCCTTGAAAATACTTGTAGAAGAGACAGAGGGAAACCACAACATGTCTTTGGGATTGCGAATGTAGACTAGATGCCAGATCAGGACCTATCATCTTGCATATTCATCTCTGGATTTTGTCGAGGACCTCGAGACGTACAGCGGGAGCAACTGACCATATATGACAGCAATCCTCAGAACTGTTAACTCTCTCTTTTTGATTCTAACTCCTAGTATCTTTTTGTTTCTGTCGAACAATCACGTGGTCAAGATAAACACTCAGTTGTGGAGCAAGCTGAGTGAATACCCATTCAACATTGAGAAAGAGATCTATTTATGGTGCAATGGAGCATCTCATTATGCTAAAGTGGGATAGTCCATTGCTTGGGCTGTGATTGGCTGCTGGTACCTGAGTGGAAGTATTTCTATATAAATACTAGCATGATTTCTCAGTTAGTTTGCAGGGTTTGTATTAAGTTACAACCTGCTTTATTTTTGTCTGCCAGCTGGACGCTAGCTGGGACTCTTACGCCGGTAAGTGCTGTTTATTATTGTTATTCTACAGTTTCCATTTGCCTTCAAATTTCCCCATTACTAGCATGCTCCGTGCATGATATTCTCATCATCCTTCTGTAGAACCACATCTGTATTACTTCAATTGTGCTATTCATCTGCAAAGAAATTATCCAGCAGTTCCACGTCGTTTTTCTCTGTTTCCTCTATTAATGCTCTGGGTTTTTAACTAAAAGAACCGTCTAAATTACACAGATTGACTAATAATTATAATAAAAATAATATTTTTATTGCTTCCCTCCGCACTTTACAACCCATGACCATTCGCTGCTAGTTATTAAAATTAGTGACAGCCTCTCTTAAAAATGCTGAAATGTCCTCAACAGATCGTTCGGTCATGAAACAGGATTTAACCCCTCACTATAAACAACTATCTAAGATGGTCTCCTCTATCTACTACTGCGTCGCACATTCTTTATTCAGCTCCATTTTCTATCTTGCTTTCTATATCCATGACTCGCTTTCTTTGCTTCTCCAATCCTTTTCTGTGTCGCACTCCCTTTTCCTCTCTCTAATCCCCTCTGTTTCTCTTTGCTTCTCCAGTCCCTCTCTCTATTCTTATTTTGTCTAACTACCACCCTCCCTTTCTCTCTGATTTACTCTCTATGCCCATCCCTCTCTTTCTGTTTCCCTCACCAATCCCTCTTTGCATATCTTTGTCTCCATCCGTCTTTCTCTCGCTTCCTGTTTTACTCTCTCTCTGTGTCCCTTCCTCTTTCGATTTCTCTTAGATTCCTCTCTCTACGTGCCCCTCTCTCTGTTTCTTTTTCCATGTCCATCTCTCTTTCTTTTCTCTATGACCATCTTTCTATTTCTCTATCCAGTTAATCTCGGTATCGTATAGTATTTGACACACACGATATCACTTTCTTTCGCTCTGTTTGACTGTCTGCCTCTCTGTGTATCACTCTTTTGTGGTATCTATCCTTCCTCTCTAGCTTTCTATATTACACACACTCTCTCTCTCTCTCTCTCTCTCTCTCTCTCTCTGTCTTATTCCCAAATAAGTCTTTGCGATGTACTCTCGATACACCTCTTCTCTCTTTCTGTTTTACTCTCTATTTCCACCAGTCTTTCTCTTTATTTATCTAATCACTCTCTTTGTCGCACTTGCATTTTACTCTCTCTACGCCCGTCTGTCTCTTCTGCTTGTCACTCTAATATATTTGTGCATATCGCATTCTCCTAGAGTCTCTCTCACTTTCCGTTTAATTATATATGTCCAACACTCTTTCTGTTGTGTCTCCAATCACAAGCTGCGTCGCATACAATTTTAGTCTCTTTCCGTCCCTCTCATTCATTAAGTTTCATCACTCTCTCCTCTTTCAATAAATCTCTCTCTCTCTCTCTCTCTATATATATATATATATATATATATATATATATATATATATACTGTAACATTAAGGTTACTACTAGAAAATTGCAAATTTTGTTTCGACATTCAAAACAGGTCTCAACAGGTAGTTATCAAAGATAGTAATAACATTAACATCATTGTTTTCATTGTAGAAGAAACCTGCATGTTCTAATGTAACAATACATAATAAAGATTTGTTGTCCTACTCTTGTATTGAGAGCTATTTTAAATTGATGACATGAATGCTTGAATTTTATACTTTCCGTTCTTTTACTTTTTATAATATATATATATATATATATATATATATATATATATATATATATATATATATGACATTTGAGAGATTTCTGAGAAATCAAAAATAAATTCTGGTACTTTTATCTTGTCTGATTTTCATTGATTAATCAATCTTCACGTACAGTTGATTGGTTAAATAAATTTAGCATAATTTACGTCGTTCCGAATTCGTGTTAATTTCTTGGAGCTTAGAAAGGACGTGTCTTCTTTCCTGAATGTCCTGATATGTGTGTATATATATATATATATATATATATATATATATATATATATATATATATTGACCCTATTTAAATTGATGATATGAACGTTTGAATTTTATTCAATTCCTTCCTTTACATTTGTATATATATATATATATATATATATATATATACATACGCAGAAAAAAAATAATGGATTTTAAAATTAAATACATATAAACTAGGGTTAAATAAAGACTTGGGTATTTTAAATCTTTATAAATATTTCAATAGTTAAACATTTTTTTAGATACAGTTAAATTTTTTTTTATTTTTTAAACAACAGCTAAAATATTATTACAGTTAGATTTACGTTAGGAATATTCGAACACAGTGGCGTTCCATATCACGTGACGTCCATGCATCGTGATGGACGCTACTTGTAAACAAACAGTTATTTCTGAAGAAAGATTGAGGCCAATCTGAAATATCGAATATATATATATATATATATATATATATATATATAAAAATTTTCATAAAAAACATTATTTTTTTTTTTAATTTGCAACTTTTTCTATATATACATATTAAGAAAAGTATACGTGATTTTTTATAATATATATATATATATATATATATATATATATATATATATATATATATATATATATATATATATATATATATGACAAGCGTATTCCGATATTATTATATTTGTATACAACCTATGTACCGAAGTATTAATGTTAATTTGTGATTGTATTTCAAAGAGATTACAGATTGTTTAGAATTATCTTCTTTCGTCGTTGAAAGAAAATATTAAGATAAAACTGGAATAAAAAACGGGAAAGATTTATTTTCTTGTTTAAGAGCACTGAGTATATTTAAAGCAAACTTAGTGAACCATATTTAAAGTCTAAAATAAAACAACTCGTTAGATATGATGGAAAACTTAAAATAAGCGTATAAAGTCAAAATATAATCGCTGGTAATATTTTGAATGTGCTGTTGGCAACATGGAGTCCGTTTCGTTTTATTGTGATTCTATTTCTGAGATATTTCCTCAACATCAAAAGGTACACGCTCTAAGAATTGGTTAGTTAATTTAATTCGTAGTGCTTTATTCTCTAGGATAAATTATATAATAATTATCTCAGTTTATGTGCATATTTGTTACGATGACGAAACAAAAGTAACTCATTGTAAGATCTTTCTACACAAAATACCGTTTTGTTACATTACACCTTCTTTGAGTCGTAAAAGACCCGGACTTTCCATCAATATCATTTTTTTTTTTTTGTTAATTGCTCCTTATTCCTTCTTAGTATTGGGTTTCTGGTTGGTTCTAAAGTTTTTTCCTGTCTTTCAATTCCAATAACCCGTTTGCATTTTAAAGTCATTAATCGCCTTGCCTAGGATGGATTGAGTAAAATATGTGTTCTTGCGAAGATAGTGCAATGGTTTTCTGTAAGTTCCACGGTTTGGGAAAGTGTTTTCTTTCTCTTAGGTTTCTGTCCAAGGGTATAAATCTAGTCTATCCTGCTATTCATCTCATACCTTGAGGGCGGAATATAGATACATATCTTTCACAAGGTTACTTGTTCAAAACTGAACGCAACGGCAATGGCGAGAATTTGAACTCGATTGGTCGAAGGACGTTAATGTTAAAGCACTTTCCGAAGTTTTCTGTAATAAATGAATTCCAAATCAAATTTCAATTTGTATTCGTTTTTCCACTCATCGTAATAATAATAATAATAATAATAATAATCTGATTCTTAGGATTATCTGTTACAAAGGCCAAAAGTTAACTATATCAAGATAAACAAAATGAGAACAAGACAAGGTCACCCTTGAGATAATAGATATATTTTATAAAAAATAATGATTCTTTCATGATTTATTTCAAAACATTTTTTCGAAACCAATCATATTCTTATATGACATAATGGTAAAAAATGGCAATTAGAAAAAATCTTAGTTCAAGTCAAAAAATGAAAGCGAAATGTTTTGTCATAGTTTTGCTTTCATTGCTTGTCTGGATAAAGTCAGATGAGCAAACTCGTCGGCAAGAACAAAGATTTTTTTTCTAGTTGTCATTTTTATACCAATTTGTTTATCTTCAGAATTATTCTGGGAAATTTGACTATATGACATCTATATATAAATGTATATATTCATTTGTTTTCTTTCCTTGATCCAACAAAAAGTCCCCACAATTTAATGCAAAAATCCATTTTTTTATTAAATTGCAATCATGGCAGTTCAAATATCATTTAACACGCTGTACAGTTATTTTTATTAGTTTCAGTCATGCAGAATGCCTGTAATTTTACAGCAAATTTGTTTTTTAACTAATAAATTACAGTTTAGTGAAAGATCAACAAAACTGCTAGTAACACCAAACTTGAACTGAAGGTAAGGATTATGGCAGCATTCACCAACTTACAGAAACCGTCCAGAAATGATGTATGTGATTCCGAAGTCGTCTGGAGGCCGTGGTTGAAGCGAATGGCGATTTTATTGAATGAGTTTACTGTTTACTATTTCAAGATATTTTTTGTGTAATGTCGGTAAATGTATCGCTTAAAACGATATATTAGTGTTATTTTCATTTTTGTGTCTTTTAGACGGCAATTTATCCATCGCACCTAATTTCAATTCGACATCGCTAACTTCTACCCGTCGATCACAGAAGACCTATTAATGTCTGCTATAACCCTGGTCAAGAATTATTGCATCATCACCGACCCGGAAATCAATATCATTATGCAAGCCCAGAAACTTGTTCTATATCAAGATGCTTCTATCTGGACCAAAAAACACAAACCAAAATTCTCTATATCGATGGGAGCGTTCGATTCCGCAGATGCTTGTGAATTGGTTGGAATTCTTCTACTGTGGAGACCTAGGTATACTTTCGATAGTAAGTACACTAGTCTGTAATTTGACGACAGAGTTATCCTCCTACGTAACACCGATCAGAACGATTTAGGAAAGAACTTATCAGATTCTTCAAAGAAATACAGACTGAATATCACCACTAAGACCAACGCCACGTTGATCAATATTCTGGACATTACTCTCGACATATCCGGAGGAGTAAACATACCTTATAATAAAAAGCTTTAGAACCAAAATACATAAGCAAAAAATCCAACCAAATATCTAGAATTTTAAATAACTTGCACAAATACCTACAACACAGCCTCTGAACCAACTCTATGAAAAATAATATTTTTGACAAATATAAAACTAGATGTGTAGATGCGTGCAATAAAAGTAAACACAAAGTTAAGCTAGAACATTAGTAAGAATGCCAATAATAGATGTAAGAATAAAAAATGTCAACATAATTTGGTTAAACACACCTTTTAACAGTAATGACAAAACCAACACCGTAAGGCTTTTCTAAATTTAATCTACAAACATTTCAACCGTAACCCTTTACTCAACAAAATATTCAATAAGAACAATATTAAAATTAGCTACAGATGCACCAGAAACCTTGAGAAACATATTACGAAGCATAAGAATGTAAAATTAAACAAATACTTTAAAAAAATCATTGACAATATTAACACAGAAAAAAATGTTCAATTGTCGAAAAAACATTACCTGTCCAAAAAATCATAAATGTATGTATAAAGGCGTCATCTATAAGGTTAGCATAATGACGAGACAAACTTTTATTTCGCTTTCACAGGCAATCACTGGAAAACCCAACATTGATACCATGATATATATATATATATATATATATATATATATATATATATATATATATATATGTAAAATATGCAATATAAAATGCCACGGCACTCTCAAACTTTTAATGGGATATTAAAACAGATGATTATACACCAGTAGTAAACTGGAATTTCATCACCAAAACTAAACCCTTTTCCGGCTGCGGTGATCGATGCAACCTGTGTCTAAAAAGAAAAATACATTTATCATCAAAAATATTAATGAACGAAATCTAACTAAACGAAACGAAAACATGTTAGCTTGCAATCACAGAAAAAAAGTCTCAATGAGTATTTTAATTCTTGATAGATAAATTATCCAAATGTCACATGTATTTACATATTTAAGGTTACATATAGATTAGCCGCCTTTAGTCATTTTAACGTCTCTTAATACTTAACTAGATACCAGGTGTTTCCCTTTTAAACTTTAAGCTTGCATCTTACTTTTCTTTTACACCCTAATAATATATTAAGTTTATATTAACTTTGACCTCTGAATCTGTTTTTTTTAATTTAGCTTTCCTCCCATGAGACGCAGTATTTGTTTTAAAAAAACAAAAATAAAAATTCATGCCTGATGAAAGCATGAAAT